ACAAAATGACTGTTAGTGAGATCCTTGTGCGTCATGCCTGCTACAGATAGATTTTATATTAGGCACCAATTTAGTCAGCTTAAGACCCAAGTCTCCTCGTTTCGTGATATCCAGTCGATTTCTTTTTTTCAATAACAAATCATTTACAGCACTAAAGCCATATTCAGTTAAATATGAAGATGGAAATGGTAAACAACAAATTTCTTGCAATGGTGGTTGTATTTGGGTATTTAGTTATTGTCTCATCATTCCTAGGCACACCCCCAACAAAATATTATTATGCCCAACCGGTGGGGAATGCGCTCTATGCTGGGAATCATTGTAGTAAAAGTTCAAACTTCCCACCAATAATCTATATTTTTTGTCTTGTTACAAGTCTGGTAAAATTACGACTGATATGAAAGCGAAAGAGAAGGGAGATAGGAATGTGTCTTTCGGATGCACTCAATTTGATTAAATTTCAATAAAATATGTTCTCCGAAAACATTTAAATTTTTCACAAGTCAGAAGAAAATTGAAATCATTTGAGATCTTATTTGAAATTTTATTTTAAATTTAAACCGAAGTTTTAGGAAACACAATCTTAATCTGAATATAGAATCTAAAAATAAAATTAAAAAAAAAAAATTCACAATAAAAAAAAAAAAATTATTAATGTTTTCAAATTCTTTTTCTATTATCTTTTTCTTTGGGAAACCTCGTAAACGCTTCTACTAAATTACTCCCAACCTTTTTTTAGTAATCTAGAAATGTACACTTTAACAGCAAAATCTAATGAACCAGAGATTTCTAAACCGAAAAAAGTTTTCGCAAAAGCAAAAGTGCTTTAGAAGGTGAAGTTAAAATTCAATATACAAAGTGCGATGGGTAAATTGTCGTCATTTTACCTTTTTTTTTTTAATTTCGCGCATGCGCATTGCTTATTTGGGATTTTGTTGACTCTGCATTATAGTCGGGTCAGCTGGGCACCGTCTGTGAGAAAAAAAGAGCACCATGTCGCAATTCACACCGCTAGAAATTTGGAATCGGCATGCTGTACTGTTTGGCATTCGCACCGGAATCTCTAATACAAACATTTCCGAGTGTGTGGGTGTCAATCAGTGCAGAGGATTCGAAAGGAGTTGGATGAGTCTAATGGTGATTACGAAGGTACGTCAGCTCGGAAGACTCACTCTGGTCGTTCTGATAAGAAAAGGACTCCAGAATTTGTTGGTGATGGCCTTGGACTCACTTGAGGAGGTAGTACTGCCCTGGGTCAAGAGGTTGGCTGCTGGAAGACCCTACGTCTGGCAACAGGACTCTGCACCATGCCACACAAGCAGGAGAACCCCCCTATGGTTGCCAGGCAGTTTCTGCAACCACATCACCCCTGACATCTGGCCACCTAACTCCCCCAAACTGCATCCCTCTTGATTATTGTGTGTGGGGTGCAGTTGAGTGAGAGACCAACAAAACTCCTTGTAACACCAAATGATGAACTCAAGGCAAGGATTATGGAAGCATTCACTAACTTAAACAAGGAGGCCGTCCAGAAGAGTTGCAGGAGATTCCGGATTTCTGGAGCCTGTGCTTGAAGCCAATAGTGATTTTATTGAATATATTAACTCTTTAGTATTTCACGATGTTTTTGTCTAATTTTGGTAAATATATCTGTTAAAATGAGATGGCATTGTTATTTTCATTTTTTTGTAATTTAGACGACAATTTATCCATCGCAGAATTATTTTTAATGGGAATGCTTTTAAAGGTATTGATTTTAATGGTAAAAATTTAATGGTAAAAATTTTAATGGTAAAACGATCGCATAGAAGACATATTAAATCTTGAGGTGTCGAATGGTTAAAAAAATTGCTTTTGGGGACAAGGTTCATTTAATTCCATTCATAATTCTGTGATACCCGTTTTAAGTAACATAATTTATTTATATAAGCCAAAAAAAAATCAAAAAAACGATAAAATTAAGTGGAAATATTTTATATAATTAAAAGGCCTAATGCACCAACGCTAAAACGTCTTTATACACATTCAGAAGCCAAATTCATCTTTCGTCCCAAATAGTCTTTACCTTCCACGGCAAATGAAAACATAAATCCGGTACCATGTCTCCCATATTTTTTTTTCCTGGATTGCCCCGTCCTGGGTATGACGATAAACTACATCCGCGTCCTGGGTAAGACGATAAACTACGTCCAAAAGCAAGGCCTCTGATCAGGAGGTTTTGAGGAGCGTGGAACCACCTCTTAACTGCTGGTGTTCCCAGGTCCATCCTGACCCGGTGTGGTAGCACCTGTGAGGGTCCCAGCTATGGGCAAATAGTTAACACCCAAACTTGTGTAAAAATAGGTTTTAACACCAGAAATACTTTGTAATAAAAAAAATTATTACCAGCAATAATTTTCGAAGAAAAAATTATTATCAGCAATACTTTAAAAAAAAAATACCATCAATATAGTTATACATTCTTTGAAAAAAAAATATGGCCATTTATAGATTTCTTCAAGGAAAAATATTCCCAGAAATAGATTTTTAAAGAAAAACATAATGCCAGCAATAAAAAGTTTTGTCGGCATTAAATAACCTATTGAGGTTGATACACCATAAAATAAACCAAACCAAACCAAACCAAAACCTGGATTACCCCAGTGGTGATAATCAGTAAAAGCAACAATAAATGATATGTGTGGTGATTTTTCGATAGTGTTACGGGATCAGATGTCACATATTATTGTGAACAGAAAAAGGGTTAGCTCAGTTAAATGGCGATCGAACTGATCAAAAACCGCTTTTTCAAACGCATGCGCGAGTCATGAAATCAAAGAAAAAAGCATATGTTTATTAAAAAATGAACACGGATCGAGGATCTGTCTATATTTCTGAGGTGAGGTATTAGGTATACTATTTATATTATACGGACTATTGTCCTCATCTTTGTGGTCATATTTATTACAACGTTTCGGTCTTTGTACTTCCGCCCCTCTACAGGTGGTTAGAATGTCGAACTGAACCCTTTATTTCGCTCGCTGGGGTAGCCTGTTCTAGTTCCACGTGCCATATCTAATGGATGTCAATTATCTCCTGTTCATTCCCCTCTGAAAGTTCTCCACTGCCTTAACCAGGCCTTGTCAATGGATCTAACCAACGCATTTATCCACTGTGCCATGTGTCTTTAAGGACATCTGTATATGAATTTCTGGGACTTAAACTTAATGCCTTCAGCAAACATTTTTTTACCAGAGCTGATATTGCAATTTTCGTTGTTCTTTGTCTATGATCTCAACTTGATCCCACAGAAGGCGGTGATCTCCCTTCTCTCTCCATATGGGGTCAGCCACGCCTGATTTTTCCATTTCCCCTCGTGTTACAGCTTTCTGGTGTTCTTGAAGCCTTACCTTGAGGGGGCGGCCTGTTTCCCCTTTATATTTCTTTCCGCAGCTGCAAGGGATGGCGTGCACACAGTCTTTAGTCATGTTCTCCTCTATGGGGGGGTCTTACTCGAGAGAGATATCTGCGAAGTGTCGGCCAGCTTTTGATAATGTAAAAGGTGTACAGATCGAGGAGTGTGTAAAATCGGTTTCTTTGGTAAATCTCTTGGGGTGTTTAACCTCTGCCCCACGAAAATGTTTTTGATTTATTTTATGAAAGAAACAATCAACTCTAAGCCTTGATCTCTGTCCTTCTCTTTATCCTTTTTCCAACCCCACCCTCTTTACTCTCACACTCTCTGTAACCCGTTGTGTTCTAGTGGCACAAGATTTGCTTAAAAAAAAAGTGACCCCTAGGAGAGTATATGAAGAAAATCAAACAATGAAGGTGGAGAGATGTCAGGGAATTTTTAAGAGAATCGCATGCCGAGAGTAACGTACGAGATTTTCCGTGCATGCACGAGATTTACCAAGAATTAATGTACAGCATTGCCGACGGGGTAATTTAAATATTCAACAAGGGTAAAGATCTTTTCTTTTGTAATGAAACAACAGTGCCATACAAACATGGCGAAGAAGAGTCGAATATATTCACATTGGTTGTGTTGGCTAATTACCAGGTAATCTAAAGAGGTTTCGAATAGATGACATTGCTTAAATCTAGTGAATTTATTTTTTTAACCTTCTCTTCGGTTTTATATTAGAATCACGATCTGAAACGAGACCTTCCATGTTCACTGACCCGCCTGTATTCGTAGCCTCCTGTTATAGCGAAGGATGACTTTGAAACTGAGGTATAAAATCTATGGTGATTGTTAGTGTTTACGAAAAAAATCTGACAAATTAATAAATTCAATAAATAATGGGATATTCAAAACTTATTTATTTGTAAATTAATTCAAATCTTTTTTTTCTTTTTCTTTTTGGCAGATTTAACGATCCGTTTTGTAGAAAGTGTTAATAACACGTTCCTCATTCATTTATTTCAAAAAGTTTTTATTCATGAGGAATGATGAAGCAACTACATCGCCCATCTTTTCACTACTCGGTTATTAAACCTACTCCTACGTTTCTTAGATTGCAGTCATATTTGTTCAAGCCTTTCACGTGAGGCATTCCGATACCTTTGTACACTAGTTATAATAATAAACAATTAGCAACAACAGAATACAGAACTCTGTGATCCATCCATTGCAGAATGCCTTGCCGTCAGAAATGGACCAAGAATACATTTTCTCAACACTTTTATTTCATTCCATTCACTTCTTCTCTATGCCTGGAGGCAGGAGTGGTACACGGAAGCAGCGAGGTGGGGGCTTCTCTACATACACTACTCCACTAATATCGCTCGTTCACAATTTTTCTGCAGAAATGTAAGTGTGCAAAGAGAACACGAGGGAAATGGCTTTTATACTTAGAATAAAACAACATTGTAATACATCACAAACACCGGCATTTTGCAATCTGTTCAAGGAATGACTAACTATTAAAAACTGCTTATATATCGCTTACTCGTTCGTTCTGGAATATGTATGACGTCACAGAAATATACGAACCACCGCTCACAGTAATGGCGAACTGACAAATTAAGTTAATAAAATAACAATTTATTTTATGAAAGAAACAATCAACTGTAAATTGCTGTGAAAACAAAGATTAAAACAAGCAATTGACTTACTTAAACAAACAATAAATATGACGGCGTACTGTCCCATTGAGAAATGTTTTCCTGGTACGAATTTGTCGCTATATTAAAGAAACACAGCTAAATGTATTCACAACATCCATTTTAACTTTCTTTCTGAATTTTTACGCATGTGCATAACATATAGACATAATGAGGTTTGACGGCCCGGCATATGGATAATTCCCTTGTTCAATAGGTTTGACGGCCCGGCATATGTATAATTCACCTGTTCAATAGGTTTGACGGTCCGGCATAGGAATGTAAAGGACCGTGTGGGTTTGCACGTGCTTGAATTAGGAACAGGTGCTGTTTATTCCAATTTATAGGAGAAGGTCCAACTACAAGAACATGGCGGACTCAAGTTGAGTCCAACCGAAGATGTAAAGAAAACAAACAAGACCGATATATATATATATATATATATATATATATATATATATATATAAACGTCATTAACATTTGTGTTTGTGTGCGAACGTAAAGAGTTTGCATTTTGGTGAATGTTCATACGTGCGTGTATGTGTGTATAATGTTCATGGCGTCTCCCACAAATGGGAAGAAGCTATCTTCTGCGAGAGCTTACATTGTAAATGTTTTCGTTGAAATGAAGAAATGAAAAGAGAACGAGGCAAGAAGTTGTCCAGTATTTATAATGTAGAGAGCGTCCCTAGTGAACAATTAAGGAATTAAGGAGGAGCTAACTCTGACTTGTATAATTCAACTGTTTCCTTGACATACACATCCCAGCACAAGCCATGGTACTTTCACTGCAACAATAGCAAAAAATGATATTATTAAACAAATATCGTAATTATTCGTTAATATAAAATACACACACAAATTTGAGTAACGAAATTATGGAAAAAAAATATCTCTTCGATATACTAATCTCTAACTTGTAGCAACTAATTTCTGCCTAAAATTATCATTGGTGTAACTTTTTATTCGGATCGTATGGACTGAAAATAAGAATCTCTATTGATTACATTAAGTCCTTATTGTTCACAAAAAATCAAACAAGCTTGTGGTGAACATAAGTCAACACTACGAGAAAGAAAATTATAAACAGACATTCTAGTGACGGGGGTCAGTGTGGGGTTATTTATCTGGAATGGTGTAAAGCCGTAGTGGACATTACGACTTCTTCGTTTTATGAGGAAGAAGGACAAAATGGCTCCGTGGACAACGACGACATCAAATATGACAAAGAACAATTAAGACACTGGCTATATAGCTGAAACTGTCATGTCGTCGACATTTGACCCGGGCAGCTGTGAATCAAACTAAAATAGTCTTAATATCTATGTGATTTCATTTTTAAATAGGAAATGCAGTGTTTGTAAGTGTCATACATGAGAAAGATAGGAACAGCATACGAGAGACAGTCAAACAGATAGATAGATATATAGATAGATAGATAGATAGATAGATATGCAAAGATTGAGATAGATAGATATGGACAGGTTAAAATACATAGATAGATAGATAGATAGATAGATAGATAGATAGATAGATAGATAGATAATGAACAACCTCGGATAGATAGATATAAACAACCTCAGATAGATAGATAGATAGATAGATATGTTGAAAGACAGATAGCTTAACTTATTTGCTGATTCAATTTCTCTAAAAGAATGGAGGTAAGTCGTCTTAAGTTAGTAAATTTATCAGTGATTTCTCCCCATATTACTTTTAGTAATCTATACAAAATATTTATCTGTATTTAAAATAAATTAGTTCCCGAGCAAAATGACCTGCTTAATTAATCAGTTCCTTTAATTCTACGTTTCTTAGATTGCAGTCATATTTGTTCAAGCTTTTCACGTGAGGCACTCAGATACCATTTTTTATTAAGTGATCATCTTGCTTGAACCTGGTCTTGAAATAGGCTTTTTTGTCGCCGTTTTTCTCGTTGCGTTGCTAATCTATTTCTTCCGAGAGATATTTCCGTTTTACATAAAATCCTTACCATGAAAAGATATTGAGCAAAAAGCGATTTATATAATACCAGGAGTAATCAATGAATCATAGATCATACGAGGAGTAATCAATGAATCGTAGATATCATTGACTCTCTAAAAACGTTAAAGGTAACGGTTTAATTAAATATCTTATTGGCCTCTATTTTAGTTGCCAATTGTTTATCTCTGCTTTATTGAATCTCAATACATTGTCTCAACACTTTTATTTCATTCCATTCACTATTAAAACTTTCTAACAGTTGCCATCATTTTTGACGGCACGGGTACACTAGTTATACTAATAAACAACTAACAATCACAGAACACAGAACTCTGTGATCCATCCTTTGCAGAATGCCCTGCCGTCAGAAATGGACCAAGAATTTTCAGGCAAACCAGATGGCCCCTTTTTAGATAAGAACTGCATCTCAGGTTGTTTATGTTCCTCGGACTGCTTGAAAAAAAAACAAAACAACATTTTTTGAATATTTATCCAAATATAAAGATTTTCCAATGATGCTTACTCAGGAAGCCGAATAATCTGACATAAAAATGCAGGCAAATTTGGACTTTTGTGCCCACAAAAAAAGAGTGTCAACAGGACGGTTTTTCCCTTGACACTATTATTATTTTAACTACCTTCACACCTCAGCAATGTTTATTGTTTTAAGTGATGATTAGAATTGTAATAAAATCTAAACATTTGAAAGCAAATATTACATTACATTAGTTCTAATTGTATTAGTTTTTAGAAAGTTGTAAAATAACATTATTCTTTTAAATAAACAAACGAATAAATAAATAGTGTTTAATATTTTTGTCGTAAATTCTCAAAAACAATAAAATGTATAAATTCATTTTGGTCATATGTTTAGTTTTTATTAAATCGTCGCTTTTTAAAACAATAAACATTGCGATGTCAATGGAAAAACCATCCTTTTGACACTCCTTCATTTTTTAGATTGCAGTCATATTTGTTGGAGCCTTTCATGTGAGACACTCAGATACCGTGTCTATTAAGTGATCGTTTTGTTTGGTTCTGGTATCATTAGCCTCTATTTTAGTTGCAAATTGTTTATCTCTGCTTTATTGAATCTCAATACATTGTCTCAACACTTTGTTACATTACATCGTATTATTAAAACTTTCTAACAATTGCTGTAATTTTCAACGGCACGAGTAAATATATAATTCATATTCAAAAAGAAAATCTGCAGCTGAAGTACACAGAACTCTTGTTGAGTATTACGGTGACCATGCTCTGTCGGAAACAACATGCAGAAATTAGTTTAGACACTTAAAAAATAATGATGTTGAAGATAAAGAATGCTTTGGCGCGCCGAAAAAGTTTGAAGACAATGAATTGGAGGCATTACTTCATGACGACTCATGTCAGGTGCAAGATTCATTTAGAGTTGGTTAAACAACAGTTTCGAAACGTTTGAAAACATTAGGAATGATTCAAAAGTAAGGACATTGAGTGCCGTACGAGTTGAAGCCGAGAGACGTCGAACGTGTGAACAGCTGCTTCAACGGCAAAAAGGAAAGGTTTTTGCATCGTATCGTGACCGGCGATGAAAAGTGGATACACTATAACAACCATAAGCGTATAAGATCGTGGGGTACACCCGACCATGCATCAACATCGAATAAGCATATTTCGAAGCTTCTGCTCTGCATTTGGTGGGATCAGCTGGGTATAGTTTATTATGAGCTGTTCAAACCGACTGAAACTATCACGAGAGATCACTACCGATTATAATTGATGCGTTTGAGCCAAGCATTGAAGATAAAACGACTCTTATACGATCAGAGACACGACAAAGTGATTTTGAAGCATGACAAAGCTAGACCATATGTTGCAAAACTGGTGAAAACCTACTTGGAAACACTTAAATGGGAAGTCCTAACCCACGCGCCGTATTGACCAGACATTGTCCCGTTTGATTATCACTTGTTCCAATCGATGACACATGGCCTGGATGAACAGCACTTTCATTCTTATGAAGATGCCAAAAAAATGGGTCGACTCGTGGTTAGCCTCAAAAGACGTGTCGTTTTTCCGACGTGGAATTCAAATGCTGCCAGAAAGATGGGAAAAAGTAATGGCTAGCGATGGACAATACTTTCAGTGATATGTTTTTTTTTTATTAATTTTTGTAAAAAAAAAATTACTTTTCATGAAAAATCAGCGAGAACTTATTCAACGTCCTTTGGTGCTGTTGATCTTAGTGGCTGTGCGTTTTCGATTGAGACCTGATCACTCAATACAAAAACCTACGAGCCACTCAAGGTAGATGGTTAATGAATAATGTGTGTGATATGAACGTAGGCGGAGAAAATAGGAAATGAAGGTTACGAGGATATGTAGGATAGATAAAGATTGTCCCGAACATATCTCATATCCCATGTATCTGTGCTAAGAAATATAAAGGAAAAACAGGTCGAACCCCTTAAGATAAGACTGCAGGAACATCTTAAAGCCGTAACAGGAGAGGTAATAGAAGAATCAAGCGTAGTTGACCATTAATAGAGGGAAAAAAGAAATAACTGCCCCTTATGGGATGACACTAAAATATTAGACAGAGAGCATCACTAGAAAATACGAAAAATGAAGGAATCAGCACATACGCTAGGCCACAGAAATCTCCTAAGGCGACCAAGCATAGAAATGAGTGCAATATAGGAACCAGTAATATCGAGTGCCAGAGAAAAACTTTAATAAGAACAAAATTGCAATATGAGCTCTGCTAAAAATTATAACTGAGACATTAGGTTTATAAGTCCTCCAAATTTATACACTGATGAACTCAAGGACACTTCGCCCGATAAATAAAAGCGTTGGTTGAATCTAGTCACTTGAAGCAAAGAGTTGGGAGTTCAATACCTGACTGCAGCGGAGATGAACATAAAACTTGCGAGTTGATTTACAGGGAAATAATTGATACTGAAACATCCGGAAGAGGCATGGCACGTGGAACTAGAATGATCTACCCCAGTGAACGAAATAAAGGGTTCGATTCGAAATTCCAATCACCTGAATAAGGCCGGAGCGTACAATGGTCGAAATGTTTTCTTTTATTAGTTATATTTTTCTCTCTTGGTTTTAATATGCCCGTTTTAATCTGTACTCCTTTTAAAATATTTACGAATAATTAGGAACCCAAGTCCTGGATAACAATTCATATATATTTTATCTTTCTTCAGAAATAAGTGTTTCTTTTGATGTTTCTAAATACATTATTGCATCATATAAAACAATATTTCAAGTCAAGTACTCTTAAGATTCATCGGAGTTATAGAAATTATTGCCCGATAGAAAACGATAGGTTGGCAATAAATTTTGCAATAAAAATTAAATAGCAAGAAAGTAGTTGAAAATTCAGCTTACATTTCAATTAAGTGTCCCTCTTTGCCAGTTTGGGCTTCAAATGTTATTTTATTCACATGTTAAACACGTTTCAAACTTGGAACACATTGTCGGATTACCTCCTCCTAATTTTCGAAACCGCTACTAGGGGACGCTTTCCAATATGGTGCAGACCGGTGTAGACGTTCCAGTGATAAACACGTCTGTTTCTTGAGATGCCCACGATAAACATGGCAGACTCGGGAAGTGAGTCTACGTAAAAAATGTTAAAAAACAAGAACATATATATATATATATATATATATATATATATATATATATATATATATATATATATATAGAGAGAGAGAGAGAGAGAGAGATACACCTAGTGAGCCAGACACACCTACCTAGTTTTCACCTAAACAGATCGTCAGGGAAAGTAAGCCTTACTTTCCTGACGGTCCGTTTAGGTGAAACCTAGGTAGGTTTGTCTGGCTCACTAGGTTTATCTAGGTCTGCTCTACAGTTGTATTGAGCTCTTTTGTTAGTTAGTTGTTTACTCATATCGGTTTTTTTTTTTTTGGGCTTCAAACCTGCATCTGTGTGATTTTTTTTCGACAGACGTTCATGTTTGTGGCTCTTTCTTTTTTTAAAATCTCTTTTTCCCTCGAGATTGATTTGATTATTAGCAAATCAAAAATTCGAGGGTTTTTCGAAACGAGTCTAGTTATCTATATATATATATATATATATATATATATATATATATATATATATATATATATATGTATGTATGTATGTATGTATGTATTAACAAAAAGGTTACAAGTAACAAAGACAATAATGTGTGTAACAAATGAATGTGGAAACTTTTTGTTCCAAAGTAGAGATTTACTTAATACCCGCCCACTGAGTCAAAGTCATTTTTAACATGGGAACCGGAGTGCTTCCACTCGGGCCGCTGGTCTAAGCTGGTCTTAGCTAGTCATAGCTCGTCTAAGCTAGTCATAGCCATCATGCCACCAGCGTCAGGAACGTATACCTGTCCAAAGTATGTAAAATAATCAATGTGCGTACGTACGTACGTGTGTGTGTGTGTGTGTGTGTGTGTGTGTGTGTGTGTGTGTGCATTGTTCATGCGTTTCCCAAAAAGGAAAGCGTTATAAATGGGGTTCTTCCGTGAGAAATTTACATATTGACATAAGATATAAGAAGAAAGGGATAAAAAATGATCACAGAGTATTTATAGTGCTGGAGAACGTTCCCTAGAAATATTTTTCGAAAATTAAGAGGAGATAACCAAACAACATTATGAATCAAATATTATTTCCATACAGTTTAACGGCACAATACAAAAACAAAAAAAATGACGACAATATTTTAAACCGCTGACTGATTTGCTTTGTATTTATTTTTTTTTGTTTTTTTTTTTACATTATATTCTTTATCAATTTTTCTGGGTTATGTAGAACCTAAATATATCTTGGATTGAAAACAATTCATTGTGTGTGTGTGTGTGTGGTGGGAGTGAATATTGCATTAGACAACTTTGAGAACAAAATCATTTTTAGTGGTTGGGATGGAAAAGACATGGATTCATATATTTCCAAAGGTTATTTGCCTATAAGTAATTGTAACGAACTCAAGTAAAATTCAAACACGTTGAATCTATCTATCTATCTATCTATCTATCTATTCAATTCTGTTTATATCTATCTATCTATTCAATTCTGTCCATATCTATCTATCTATCTATCTATCTATCTATCTATCTATCTATCTCAGTCAGACCATTATCTATTTGTCTAGCTAGCTAATTCTGTTGATATCTATCTATCTATCTATCTATCTATCTATCTATCTATCTATCTATTTATTCAATTCTATTCATATCTATCTATCTATCTATCTATCTATCTATCCCAGTCTACACTGACGTCCTGATTTCTCATGCCCAGCCTCTTTTTTACCCAAACCACACATCCTTACACCGACTGAAAATAAATATATAAAAAGGAAACTACCCCTTACCCTCAAACAATGACGCAATATTTAAGTACATTTGCAATTTTAAT